ACTTTTCGAGCCTCGATGCCTCCACAAGAACTTGTAAAAGGGCGTTTCAGGATTTTGAAGGAGCCGGGAATGGGGGGGGGGGGGGGAGTGGAGGGTGGGGGAAGGGTTTAAAGCTGGGGTCTGGGATCCAGCAGAAGCTGGGATCTTGGGGAGCACCGCTGAGGGCCTGCGTCGTATCCGGCGTAGATACATCCTGGCCCGGGTGAACTGGATGCGCGCCCTCCGCTATGCGAAGGGATAGCTAGGGCCGATGGAGAGAGCGGGGAGAGGGATAAATGGATGGCCAGGAGACGTTTACTTTTCCTTTAAGCCGTAATAAGGAGAAATTCGGTGGTCACCAAGATCAGAGTCCCTATTTTTTTTTTTCTTCAATAAAGTTTAACTTATGGCTGATATGAACCGATCAGCTCCTGGGCGGGGTGAAGAGGAACTCCGTGCCGGGGCGGGAACTCCAGAGAGAGAGAGAACCCCAAATGGATGCGCTGGGCCCAGGTGTCCGCAGGTCGTAGGAGGGAGCCCGACCCCCCCCCCCCACCCCACAACACACACACACACACACACGGAGACAGGCGCAGGTGGATGGACTCCTCAGGGTCCCCCCCGAGTTGGCCCTGCGCGGTTCGCGTACCAGACAGTCTGAACTGAAGGAAGGAGGGATGGAAGGATGGGGGTTCCATAGAATGGGACTCCGTCTGGCTCGCCAACATATTTTTGCAAGCTGCTTTTTAAAAGAGCCTTCTGAAAAAGAAAAAATTTAAAAGAGCCTTCTGATGAGGCCGAAATCTCCGCGAGGTGGAAACCAAACTTTCGGGGTCTGCGTGCAGCCTGGCGGGGGACATCGCGGGGGCCAGGCGGGAAAGGGGAGTGGAAAAGGAGTGGTTTTAAGTTTTGTCTCCACTGGGGCTCGATTTCGATTGCAATCGAGAGAGATGTGCGGGGATGTGTTTATGCAGAGCGTTTCCATGACACCTGCATAATTTGTAAATAACCTGCATCACACACACACACACACACACACACACACACACACACACACACCCCTCTTTGCTCCAGAAGGAAGGAAGGGGTTTAAAGTTGACCCTCGGAGACTGCAGAGGAAGGGCGCTAGGACCAGACGCTGGTCTGGAGCCTCCACGGCTCCGCCGACCCCCCCTCCCCCCCCCGCGGGCTCCAAACCCCGGCCCCGGTGCAGACGGGACCTGGGCGGGCTAGTGCGCTGCTGTTTCTCCTCCCCGATTTCTGGTCCGGCTGTCCCGGCCTTTCCCCCCGCCCCCCAATCCCAGGACAGCTGCCCTACACCCCGGCAATTCTCAGCTTCAGCGCCTAGGAGCGGGGAGGGGGGAATCCTGGGGCCCTGGCGGGGGTGGGGGTGGGGTGGCACACTCGTGCCAAGGCGGGGCAGGGGGTTGGAGGAAGGTCCGGCTTCCAGTTCTCCCCAAAGCAAGAAAGATTTCCAAGGTCTCCCTGTGGACTTTTTTTTTTTTTTTTTTATCCTAACCACCCCAAAGTGGCGATGCACACAGGACACGTGTTGGAAAAGGGCAAATGGCATTTCCAGCTTAGGGTCGGCTCCTTTGGGCCCTTGGTTTTCCTCTATTTTTGCGGCTTATGGACTTGTTTTGGTGTTTGTTTTTTTTTTTTTTGTTTGTTTGTTTTTTGTCCGGGGCAGCGCCGGAGGGGAAGCGGACCCCGGCGGAGCCGGCCACCCCCAAGCCGAGGCCTCAGAGCCGCGCGCCGGGAGGCGGGGACCTCGCCGGCGAAGGTAAACACGCCGGCGCCGCGCCCTTGATCTTTATTTAAATGGAGGCTTGTTTATCGGTGTCATCCTTAGGAGGATTAATTAGATACATCTCTTCACAATTTGGTGTCTGACACTCTGTCTCAGGAATGCCTTATCACAAGGTGTTAATTGGGGCCACTCAGCCACGAACGTTTCCATTAAACACGGTGAGGGACTTTTCACAAGTACCAGGTGCTTCTGGCTGTACACGGTGTGAACATGTTCGGGGTTCGAGAAATACACGGGGGCCCGCACCGGCCCGGTCCAGCCCGGCGGGGATGGAGAGGGCAGGGCGCCGCGTGGACATTCCTCAGTATCTCCCAACACCCGCTGCTCCTTGGGGATGGGGAAGGGGGGACGAGGAGGGAACATAGACCAGGTGAGGGGTCTAAATTCATCCAAAATACAAACATGACTGGTTCACTGTTAGTTAGCTTCTCTCCCCTCTCCCCCCTCCAAAAAAAAGTCTTTAAGATTATTTTCATTTTGGTGATAGAAGGATGCCTGTGTTTGAAGTGGTAGCAAAAGTGTCCTGTGAGATGCACTTGGCAATGAAAGCACAATAAATAGCTTTAAAAAAAAAATAGCCGAAACCGATTTGGCTCAGTGGATAGAGCTTTGGCCAGCGGACTGAAAGGTCCCGGGTTCGATTCCGGTCAAGGGCATGTACCTTGGTTGCGGGCACATCCCCGGTGGGGGGTGTGCAGGAGGCAGCTGGTCCATGTCTCTCTCTCTCTCTCATCGACATTTCTAGCTCTCTATCCCTCTCCCTTCCTCTCTGTGAAAAATCAATAAAATTTTAAAAAATTAAAAAGTCACACACACACACACACACGAATAAATATACATAAACCAAACTTCAAGGCTTTGGCTCCCAGATCAGGTGAGATGGGGCGGCTTTGGGACAAAGCACTTTTAACCTGTAAGGTCGGTCAGTCGGAGACGCGGCGCTGGAGTCTGAGCTCCCAAGGTCACCGGCAGAACTTGCAGGGGGGGGGGGGGGGAATGGGACACCGGGGAGAGGGGATGGGACACCGGGGAGAGGCGCGGTCCGAGCTCCCAGCGGCCTTAATTGGACGCGGAAGCAGGGAGGTCCCGGCGGATGGCTAGCCTCCCAGCAGCTAATCCTCTTAGCAGCTGCATTTCCGCGCCGCGGTGAGCCCGGCAGAAGGACCCTCTCGGCCAGACCTTTACCCCGGGAGGGTCAGGAGGGGGCGGGAAGCGTTGCCAGCGGGGTCCGAAGCCGTCTGCTGATAAACCTGGCGGGACCTGGCGGGACGTCTGGCGGCGGACAAAGGGCTCTCCGCCCCATCCTAGGTTTAACTCTTGGGCAGATCCAGGGCTCAGCCAGGGGACGGGGCAGACTCCGCCCTGCCGGGGGAGGGCAGCGCCAAATACACGGAGCTCGGCGCAGAGGACCGGGAGGCCTGGGATCCTCGTGTGGAGGCGGCTGGCTGCCCGCAGGGAGCCCGGGCCGGGCCGCAGCCGCCCGAGGAGCTCAGCCGCGGGCTCCGCGCAGAAGCCGCAGGTGGAGCGGACGCTGGGCTGGGGGCGGTGAGCTCCGCGCCGCTCCGCGTCTGCCAGGAACTCGTGGGCGCTCAAAGGGCCTCGGGGGTTCCCGGGGAGCCCACGTGGGTCAGGGACGGGTGACCCCAAATTTAAGCTTAGAACCCCTGGGGCGCGAGGTTCTCCGGTTTTTGCATGAGCCCCGGTGTAGGCAATCTTGCATCTGGGCAACCTTCACCCCCAGCCCAACCCCCATACCCATTGTCCACACTTCCTAGAGGAAATAACCCCATTCATGTTTTGAGGATTAAATAATAATAATAATAATAATAATAATAATAATAATAAATAAAAAGCATCCCACCCCCCACTCCTCATGACTACAGTGTCCACTTAAGAGGTTCCAGAGCCTTCCATGGCAGGGAGAGGGGTTGGTGAAACAAGTGTCCACGCGGGAGAAGGGTGGAAGGCAAAAAGCACAATAAGATCTTCCCACGAAAGGCCAGAGTACAGAAGACAGAGCTATGCCTGCCCCTTAAAGAACCACGTTTATTTAAAAAAATGACTACTACTGTACATGAAAACCCAAGGTCTTCAAAAAGCCTATAGTAGCTGTGGCATCGGGTTTTACTTTCTTCACATTACCAAGTTGAGGAAGAGGACGGAATGGGCATTTTTCCCTTAGACACGACGGTTCAAGTTAAGTACAGAGTCGCTGAATACATTCTGAACTAGCTAAAAAGTAAACAGTATAGTCCCCAATATGGTCGGTTGGGATGAGGAGAGAAAACGACCCTCCCCCGCCTCTGCAGCTGTTGCTAGGTGATCTGCACATTCTGTACAAAAGCCGAAGCACCAAGTTTACATCATCGCAGACACATAGGTAGACTATTTGTACAATAATATATCCCACATTATTCTACAGTGTATCTAAGCACACAAACTATACACTTTAAATGTTTCTCTTTCGTTCATTTTTTTTTTTCTTTAGTTTTGGGGGTGGGGGGAGGTGACTCCATCCCTTGTCCTCTCCTGAGTCTTTTGAGACACCCATCCGGGCACACAGCAGAGGCCTAGCCAGGACGCAATCCTGAGCCAGGGCGGACATGGCTTGTGCTGAAAGCCTGGAGGAATCCAACTCAGTAAGACCAATACCTTTGTTTACAAAAATTTTTTCTTGCCTCCCAGGCCTCACATCTTTTGTCCCTAGCAGAAGGTCACAGCAGAAAGTCCCCAGTTGAGGCTGACAGACCAGCCCTTCCTTCTCTTCTAGAAGCAAAATCTTTTACCGATTCGGGGCTTCTAGAGGCTCACAGATTTTTAAAAAAACAGAAACAAGAACCAAAGCTTGCAACTCATCGGATAGCGCTCAGCACTCCGTCTTCGCAGCCCCATTCTCTGAATGTTTTTAGTGTTTCCAATAAATAAATCCAGAACCTTGAACAACCTTCTGATTTTTAAAAACTTTCCGAGTCCTCCGTGAACTGTATTTCAGAAAGAAAAAAAAAATAAAATAAAATGCTAGGCTCGTTTCCATTACCTGCAGCAATCAAAAAGCTTTGGCACCTTCTTTTAGAGAATTGCACAGAACAGGATGCATCAAGGTGGAAGGCAAACATCTTTTTGGCAACCTAGGCAGAGAAGACAACAAAAAACACCACCAAGTTCATCTGCAAAAAAACTTAGCTCATTCTGACGAGGTCAAAACCACTCTTTAGGGAGTTGTGTAAAAAGCATAATATCCCCCCATGCCTTTCGAGGTGTCTTTGCTGTACTCTTCGGCATTCATGTCCTCACACTTGATGGAGGGGGAATTCTCATTGCTGGACGAGCTGGGGGACAGCCGCCTTCGCTTGCAAGCGCCCGTGTACACCCCCGAATCGTTGGAATCCAGGGACTTGATGGAAGGGGGAGTCTCTATCCAAGAAGAGCTCATTTCTTCTTTGACTTTCTCCTTGGAGAGCTGGTCTTCGGAGAACACAGGGGGGCTGGTTCTGGAGGTCCATGGGAGCCCGGCGGCCATCTTCCTCTGATAGGAGCCTCGACCTCCCCACCCTGCCATTGCAGGGAAGGCCGGGTCGGGGTAATACCCCAGGGCGTGGGACGTCTGGAGGGGCAAGGACTTAATGCCATAGGGGAGCAAGGTGCTGGACGGGTATTCGGACTCATAGGAGCCGATGTCTAATTTGTTGGTCCCGGGCTGCTGGACAGGCGTGACAAGCCACCGCTGGGGAGGGTTGGCCACCTCTTCGTTCTGTTGGGGCGAAAGGAGGCCGTTGGTCTGCGGCACGGTTCTCTCGCCGTTATAATAGCGGGCTTGAGGTAATGTGTTGACAAAGGGCTCCGGGAAGAAGGACTGGACGCCATACCGACCTCCAGGGACAATCTGATGGGATCTAGGAGAATCCGTGGGAGATGGAGTTAACCTGTCATTTTCGGAAGCGGTGTACATGCTACAATATAAAGAAAAACACTTAAAAATAAAAATAACCCTGGTGGTGACCCCCAAACAAACCAAATTCCCAGGAATGAAAACGCAACTGGTCTGTTGGTGTGGAGGCACAGAGGCAGGAGATGCCCTGGCTCGTCTGAACTTGGACTCTTGGTTCCAGAGGGAAAATTTCCCACCAAATAAGCCAAAGTACCTTCCCGGTTAGTAAGTATTTAAACTATAGGAAGTCCACCTTTGCAGATGCTGGGATCTGAGCAACAACTCTCCCTGGTCCTGTGTGGTGGAGGAAGGCCACATTTAAAAGGCATTTGCAGAGCCTTGTTGTTGATGTGAAAATTACATCCTCTCAGCCTCAGGTTTTTCTTATGTAAAAGCAAAAGGGGGGGAGGTAACAGTAATACTCGCTCCTGAGAGGGTAAAAAAGTTGGGATTACACAGAAAGATATGTAAATGCAGATTATGAAAATGTCAACTCGCCACTCAAATGTTAAAGAGAAAAATGCTCCTCCTTTTAAAGTCCTTTACATTTCTTTAGAAATGAACAAAAGCCCTGTGTGAAAAATTCTAAAGCAAGGTTAGTCGGGCAGGGGGGGGGGGGGGGAGAGTAAAAATAAAAAACAGAAAGTCTCAAATATGAAAGCTTTTTCCCAAAATATGTTCCTAGGAGAGTGGCTGATTATGAATGTCCTGCTCCCAGGTGACACGCAAGCATAGACCAAAGCAGCACTTACGAATCGTAGTTGTCCCTGAAGCCTTTGGCAAAGGGGTTGTGGTCAATCTTGAGCTGCGTTATCTGGATAAGGGGAAAGAGATGGTTGTTGAGTGCGTTAGCGCGCTGGGCCTGGCTTGCCCGGGTCGGCGGACCTTGGGGACACTCACGTCGGTGTTTTGGTAGGCCGTCACGGCAATGAACTGCGTCTCTGAGAAGGTAAAGGTCTGGGTCTTGGAGGGCTCGTTCAAGTCCTCCACGCCGTCCTCCGTCACTTCCACAATGTGCAGCCGCGGCTGGTACTTGTGTAGAGATTGCAGGACTATCATCTGGAGGTGGCACAGGAACAGAGAGGCCAAATCGAAACAGTCTCTTAAAGGTTCAGCAGAAGCAGACTTCACAAACTGCATATTTTGCAATGGGACACCTGCCTGCTTCCCCACTGAGGGCTACCTTTTTCCTATTGCCGTTTTTTAACCAACAGCTACCTTTCTCCTATTTAACATCTGATCGTCGCCACTTCTGTAACCAAACAGAGCTGGGCCTGCATGTTTCGAAAGCACTCTTTCTTCTCGGTTTCCTAAGTCCCCCAAAGATGTCAGTATTTCTGTCCCTAAGAATCAACTCACTGTTATTGAAATCCAGTGTGAAAGTAAGAATGAAAAAGGTCAAAGGGAAGAAAAAAAAAAAAAAAAAGCTTAGAAATAGCTAAACAGCTAAAATTAGTGAAGATATAGGAACTTGTTAGAGAAGAGATCCCTGGCCAGAAGACATACCCTCTGTCCCTCTACCTGAGTGTTGTTGTTATTGGCGCCTTTGTTGTTGGTGAGTTTTAATTTCCCAAAGGAAATCTCCTGTCTCATCCAGTGGGAACCGGTATTAGGAGACTCTGGGTGGACGTACATTTTGTTGCCTAAGAGAAAATGAAACAAAAACACAGAACCTAAGCACAGAGCGCTGTTTACAAATGGAGCGGAGGAGGGAAGCCTGTCTTAGTATCTATGGGCAAGGTTTAAGAGCGGGATTTACAGCACAAACCTCCCCAGCAAGAGCTGCTTACTGAGAAAGGCCAATGGAGACCATGAGACTCCAGTGATGCACCCCACCACACCCCCTCCAGAGCCCCCGAGTTCCCAGGCCTTCCTTGACAAGGTGCTCATCTTAACAGGACCTCAAAATAGAAAGATGGAGGCAACAGGGGATGCCTCTTGTAGTTCAGGGCACCATCTGATGGAAATGGTTGCATTTTTATGGGTGGGATTCAACCTTGAGAAGGCTTTCTCAAGTGAACATTGGCATGCCAGGAGCCCGAGTTTGTGACAATTCTTTACTAAAACGTAGACATTGGGGGCTGCAGTAGGGTTATGGTTAAAGCTCTGTATGTTGGTAAGCAAGAAATCTGACTTAGCCATTCCCTCTTTCAGCCAAACACTCAAGACAAAGAAACTCATGCTAACACCTCTAGGTTCCAGGTGGGGGGGAAAGGCTTGTGACAGGGATTCCCCACCTGCTCCCCCTTTACCCCCCTGCCAGAGCTTCCTCTCTCCTCACCCTGCATGTTATTGTCGGCTTTGCCGCAGGTCACCCACTTGCCCCCCTGGAAGCGCCAGTGGTTGGGGTCGGCCAGCACCACCTCCACGAACACGTTGTAGTGGGCGGCGGGGTTGAGTCCGTTTATGTTGAAGCTCAGGAAGGGGAACATGCGCCTGGAGGGAACAGAGCCGGGAGAAGCGATTTAATCACCACCCCGAGCGCAGGCCTGTGCTCGGCCAGGTTAGGGGGCACCTGGGGCAAGATCGGAGTTAGACGTTTAGAAATCTACAGAGTTAACAGAATCCCGGGAAAGCGGCTCTCACTATGCAAAATAGTTTTGAGTTGGCAACTCTATGGGCATCTCTTGTACAAAATGATTTGCCCCACGGTCACGTGCTTCTGTGTCCTCTCCCCACTCCAGTTTTCAACTTTTTAAGGCGCTCGTTCATTTTTTCTTCCATGATGTGAAAATGTCTTTTCCCAATTCCACTGGTAAGGCTGAAAGTCCCCTCTGAGAGTCCCTCTCCCTCCGCCCCTTACTTTGCACAGAAGTAATCGCTGTGAGCTATTGGATGTGCATCAGAACTTTCTCACCCCCAACCCCGGCCAGCTCTGGCTCCAAGACCTGCCTCACCAGCCACCTCCATCCTCCGGAGGTGCCCCATGGAGACCCTGGCGCCTAAAACGGCGGGAGCCCATCTACTGCGCTCAGGGGGGCAACCCATGCGCCTCCGCCCCCTACCCCCCACCCCGGTCCTCTCGGTCGGTCTAGCAGCGTCTCGTAAATCCAGCTTTGTGGACAAGCTTCAGTTTCCATTTCCACCGCCTCCTCCTCCATCCAGGTAAGGGTAACGGGAGGGAGGAGGCAGCCGTAACCGTACACCCCGCACAAGCCGCCCGTGAGCAGAGGGGAGGGACGAGGAACTGGAGATGCAACATCTCCGCTTACTGCGCGCTCGGAAAAACACTTTCCAAGCAAAGGGCATCCCCGGCCCCCCTGCGGGCCACACCGTCACGGTCCCCCCAGTGCCCCGCGCCCCCTCCGCGCCGCGCTCACCTGCCCTGTTTCGTGATGATCATCTCGGTCTGGTGCCGGTGGAATTTGAGCCACAGGGGCCGGTTGCACAGGTAGACGTGCGCGCGTAAACTGGATCCGGACACCTCCAGGCTCCCCCAGCCTCCGCACGCACCCGCCGCCGCCGCCGCCGCCCCGGGGTACGGCCCGTAGAGGGGAGCCCCCTGGCCGTACGGATAGGTTCCGGGGCCGCCTCCCCCGCCACCCGCACCCGCGCCGCCGCCGCCCGCGCCGGCTCCCGGGCCGAACTGCGCCCTCCCGGGCGGGCACACGGCGGCGGGGAAGCCGCCGGAGGGCAGCATGGAGCCGTAGGGGTAGCGCGCCCCGTTGGGAGCCGGGTACACGGGTCCGTGGGGCCCCCCGGCCGCCGCCTGGTAGGGGAAGAGCGAGCAGGGCGCGGCCAGCTCGGAACCCTGCGGCGCGGGGGACTGCAGGTAGTAGCGCTCCGAGCCCAGGCTGTCCATGGAGTAGCGCGCCGTGGCGGCTGCCGTGGCGGCGGAGGGGAGCTCCTCTTCCCCGCAGGGGGAGCCCTTGCGGCCGTCCGGGGCCCCCGGCTTGGCCACGGCCGCCGCGGTGCTGGCGAAGGCGTCCCCGGCGGCGTCCGCGTCGCTTAGCATGACCGCGGGCGCCCCCACGCCGGCCGTCGCGGGCTCCCCGCTCCCCGCCTCGCACGAGAGGCCGCCCGGGAACTTCTTAGGCGCCTTGTCCAAGTCCAGCCTCTGGGGCGAGGGGGTGGCGCCGGGGAGGTGACCGGCCGGCCCGCCCCCGCCGCCCCGCGCGCTCTCCAGCGGGTAGAAGTGCGCGCCGGGCAGGTTCACCGTGCTCACCAGAAGCTGCTCCCCTAGCTGCATGCTTTACGGAGCGCAGATGGCGAGGCTGCCTCTCCTCCTCCCGAGGCCTTATTATAAAGGCTGGATGGGGGAGCCAGCGCCCTCTTCCGAGGGGAAGGTGACTTCCCCTCCCTCCGGGGTCGGGGCGACCCACCTGGTGACACGGGGGCGGCGGGGGCACCCTCGCGCGCGTGCAGCCCAGCGTCCTTTCCGCAGGGAAAGCGCGCTGAGCCTGCAGGGCGGGAGGTGAGATGGATGGAGAAGCGCCCTGGTGTTCTTAGCGGTCCTGCCGGCCACCCCGGACCCCCAGCTCCTCCCCGGCTCACGCCCTGTAAGGAGAGGACGCGGCTCTCTGTTCCCATCCACCCGCAGGCTCTAGCCCCTCCGCCCTCCGCGGCTGCCCAGCTCCCGGTCAGGTCAGGTTGACCACTTTGGAAACTGGCAGGCTGTCATTGGCTGCTTTATATACGTGCTGCCAGGGAGGGGTTTCACGGCCCCTCGGCCCCGGGACCCGCCTATTGGCTGATGGAGGTGACACTAATTCAATTAGGCATGTACTAATTGGATCAAGTCGCCTGCAACTTTATTTTCCTTTGGTCTGATTTCTTTTCTTTTCTTTTTTCTCTTTCTTTCTTTCTCTCTTTTTCTTTTCTTTCTTTCTCTCTTTTTTTCTCCTTCCTTCCTTCCTTCCTTCCTTCCTTCCTTCCTTCCTTCCTTCCTTCCTTTTTTTTTTTTTTTTTTTTTTTTTTTGAGACTGCCCTGCTGCGAGGATCAATTCTGATATCTTTCGCTGCAGTTTAGGGGAAAATGTTTTGGGGTCCCCGTAGCGGGGTCCAGCGCTCGAAGAGAAAAATGCAGGTTTCAGAGGCCGAGAGGAAGGAAGGGAGGGAGAAGGCTCTGCAAACTGGTTCTCCCTGAGGGGGAGAAGCTGGGAGCTGGAGAGAGGCCCAAGGGGGAACTCTCTTCCCCTCTCCGGGGCTGTCACTTCAGGTACACGTTCCTCCGGATGGGGGAAGGCTCCCGGGCCGCCAGCCCACACGCATCACTCCGGTTTGGCCCCGTCCTTTCCCGCCGTGGGAAGGGCTTGTGGGAGGAACCTCGCGCTCGGCTTCTGGGGTCGGGCCGGCGGGTGCGCACTGCCATCCTGGAGAGCCAGCGCGCTCAGTTGGTGCAGCAGAAGCCGCGGTGGGAATGGGACACTGGGAACACCCTCCTCCCCACGCCAACCCGCCTGCCTTCAGGAGGCAGGCACTCACCCGCTGCCATTTAAAGTCCTAGCCTCCCAGTTCCCCTGAACCCCAGATCCTGCCCCCGCCCCAGCTTCGGCTGGGCCAGAAGCGGCGAAACAAAGGTTCGCCAGCCACTCCGCGGTCCCCATTCCCCGCGCCTCTCCTCCGCGGCGCGACGCAGAGGGGGAATAATTAGTGACACAATCTGTTTGATACCGAATGGAGCCCCTTTGCCCCAGCTGCCTGCGTCTCCCCTGAGTTCCTGAGGACCGCAGAGTCCAGAGCGGTGCCATCCTAGATGCTGTGTTGTTATTACGGGGGATGGGGCACGTCTCCTGGCTGAGCCGGAGAAGCCTGAATGCTCGCCGCCGTTAATAAGCAATTACAGCCGCTGCCTGCAGCCGCTCCGGGAGCGCATTTTCCGGCTGAGATGCCGGGGCTCTGCTTCCCCAGCCGAACACGATCACACGGGAAACTCTGCGCCCGCAGCAGATGAGGTGGCCGCGGGGTGTGCTGAGCTCCCACACGCCGGGGCTGAACGGCTCGAACCCAGGTTCCAGCCACAGCAGCGCCAAGCCGGCACCTCTGGGTTAGAGCGCCAGACGGTTGGTCCTTAAGGCGACTCGGCTGCTCCTGGGCTTGGACCGGCGTTTGGCGGCGGTGAAAAGCGAGCGCGCACGCAGGGTTTCAGGGTCAGGGCCCAGCCAGGGGGAGGGAGCAAGGGAAACGGGTGGATTGGCACAAGGACCTTGGAGTCCCGGGGCCGAGCATCCCGGGCGCAGCCCCCAGGAAAGCCGTGCCCCAAGCGCGTTCAGCCCCGCGTCCCACAAGCCTCATTCAGGTTTGGTGTGGCTCTCTGCGCTCCCACCGCCCGGCTTTTGTAGTATGTGGACCCAAGGAAAGCCGGGAGAGTTGTACTTTGCAAATCCTCTATGCTTCTGCACACTTGGTGATTTTCAAAGTGGAGAGTCCGCGACTGGGACGCGAGAGCTAGGAAAGAAGGAAGGGGCGCGCGGCTGGGGTGGCTTGGCGACGTGGACCGGGGCTAGGGGACTCTGGAAACCACTCGTAGGCTCCCCCACGATACCCTAAAGTTTCGGGATGTTTGCTGAAAAAACAGGGGTGCGCTCCGATCTCCCTTGGGGGTTGGGTGGCCTGGGGTGGAAAGCCGCGTAGCGCTCGAGAGAGCGGGCCTCGGTGTTCCTTCCGATTGCTTTCAAGGCGGCCGGGGGAGCTGGGCGGTGGCAGAGCGCCATCGCAGGCAACAGGCGCCGCTCCGGCCCACTCTGGCGCACGTAACGCGGCCCAGCTGTCCCCCCCCTCCCCCGCCACAGCACAATGCGCTGATCTGATTGCAGCCCGAGAGCGAGCTCTGGAGAGCGTGTGGATCCCGGCGCTTCCTCCTGATGAAATAGACAGTGAAACATACACCGATGTGATATGTGTAAGCAGGACCCGTGCTGATTTCTAGGGGCGAGAAGCTGCAGCTTCTCTCTCCCCACCTCTCCAACGCATTTATTGATTCACTCAAACTTCAACCCATTTCACAGATGGAGAAACAACGAGAAAAAATCAACATGCAGGCTCTACAAAACTGTCCTGGAACGCAGGCTTTTCAGAACATGAAAAATCACTTAGATCACATTTTGTAAGCAGATGTTACAAATACCTTTTTAAAAACATAATGAAAAGGACTGTTTCAGTTAAAGATCTTTTTTTTTTCTTGACTGCGTCAAGATAAAGGCGTCTCATTTAATGGTTCTTCCGTATTAATCGACTAATTACGTTTTAATTGTTACAGATAGAATATACAAGTCTCAGTGCCTACAGCGTTGTAGAGGAGCAAATCTGGGATTTCCTCCTTGGAATGCGCTCTCCTTTGGCTGGCTCAGTTTTACTTATAACCAAGGAAAGAGACATGAACATTATTTTTATGTGTCCCCGGCTGCACTTTAAAATAAAAAACAACCACCAACACTCTTTTCCTGAAGAGAAACCGAAAAGCAGTGGAAGGCAGCGGCTTCAGGGAACACGTCAGGCAGCACCCTCCTTAGACTGGGTGGGCGAATACCAGGGCCCTCCAGCCTGTTTGCTGTTTGATTTCAATTACACCCCGGGCTTCATGAAACCCAAATGAGACATTTATGGAAAGGTGCCTGGTTTTTTTTGTGGCTCAACTGACAGTGTAGTGGAATACATTGAACAAAAACATCAACATTGGGGAGGAAGCGTGGGGACCCCTCAGAGCCCAGACCCAAATGCTGGCTGGATTAACTCAACTCTTGCACCTCTCAGCCAGAGATGGAGCGAGCAGGACCCTCTGCTGGCTACAATGAGCCCCAGGCAATGCCTGTGTGTGAGCCCATTAGGAATCTCTGCTCTGTTGTCTCCAGAATACCAACTTTATGCCACTGTCTTGCCCTGATGACAAACAGGGATGGCCAACCTGGCCAGGTGAGCTCTTACCCCTCTCCCTCCCCAAAAGTAACTACTGGGAGGGCACTCCTTTAAAAGCAAAACTGAGAAGCATTTGGCTATTACAGGTCTATTACACATCAAATACATACATACATGCATGGATGCATTACAGTGGTGAGTTATAGATGAGTGCAATGATATATAGTTTATATCCCTCCCCCCCCCACCACACACACAACCAAGGGGGCCTATATAAATGTCCCAATAAATTCTATTATTTTCACCCCCACTAAAAATGTGTTATCCAAACACTGTCCGTGTTATTCAAACACTTTGTAAACTCCGAGCAGACTTGCTGCCGGTTCTCCTTTTAACCCTAGGAAAACATTCCAACATTAACCGGTCACCAGCGCTTCGCCTGGACTCTGGGAAAACGTCAATGGGTTTTTTGTGGCGAGTTGGTCCTTTTACTATTTATCTATGGCCTTTTCTTTGTTGACGTTAACGTTTTATTTCACCATCTCGGGTTCGCTCTTTGGCCCTTTGTTCTCCGATGGCCAGATCTGCCACCTCCACTGCACTTTCCCGAAGGGGAGGGAGCTTTCCTCACCGTAAGGCTGTTCGAGTTTCACTTTTTTTTTTTTTCTTGAAAGAAAGAAAATGTCCCGTAAGATAAAACATTTTTGGCAAAGACAAGTCATGTTGATTCTGCTGACAAGAGCAAGATACTCCCATAAGCCCAGTTGCACTTTTATAAGCATGTGTATGTCACCGTGACACTAAAATGGACTGATCACCTGCTTAAATTTAAAAAAAAAAAAAAAAGAAAGAAAGAAAAAAAGAAAATCACCAGGCCCACGGATGTGTGAGGCAAAGGGCTATATTAAATCCACTGTATTTTTTTTCCAAACAGAAAAGACTAATTTACAATGATCTTAGCTATCAAGACTTAGTTTTAGAAGGCTGAAAGCAATTGTTGCTCACTGTTAGAATATGAGAAGGTGGGGGAATCCTGGAATGAAAGATAATAAACACACCAAAAGTTGCTTATTTTAAGAAAATGAACCTTTGTTAAGAAGAATCAAGAATTTTTTTTTTTATGCAAGTAGTTTTGAAACTGCAAGTGAATTCCTGGATTTAACTGATTATGACCATCATCCTCATCATTATCATCATCATATTAATGGGAGTACATACAGCCCATAAATAACAACAAAAAAAGCCACATGAAGCAAAGTAAATGAAGTGAATGACTCTCAAGAGTAATTTATGGGCATGTTTGCTAACTGTTGCTGCGTTAAACCATGGAAGAGTTATGCTGGGCTCACCTGTCTTGCTTACTTTGCACCTTGGAAGGCCTGCCGCTTAGCAGCT